AAATTGCCAGGAATCGTCAGCTGGTCGACCGCCTCGTACAGGAGCTAGTATTATTATTTCTTTTTTATGTTTGTTATTTCTATTGTTTTTTTGATATGAATTTTTCACGGTAGCTTTCTTCAACTATTCTCGTAAGTTTATTGAAGATTTTAACATATTTTGGGTAGATTATTGCATGCAAATGTTTTTTTATTTTAGAAACTCCGTTAATTTCAATGCGTTGTCTGTATTGCGGAGATTGCGCCGCCTTCGTGCATTCTCGCTCGAACACTCCCTAACCGCAGTTTTTTCAATGTGAAATTCGTCCACCCCCTCTTTCCAGCTCTTTTTTTGTTCCTTTGTAATTCTTTTTATTCCTCGTTTTTTTGCGCTTTTTCGTTGTTATCGTTTTATTCTAGAGTAGTTCTATCTATTCCCGTCAAAAAAAGAGTACCCTTACTTTTTTGTTAACAGTGCCTTTAATAGCCGAGGAAATCTAGCCTTAAGTCCAAGCTTTAGAGTAAAGGAGGGAGTATGACATAGATGGGAAGAGAAAAAGAAAGAGAATCGTTCTGGACACCCTTCGATAATAACTCATCTACAACTGTGCCGATTTGGACACGAACTACTTGCGGAGGACAATCCATTTAGTCACCCACCTATGCCTGTATCATATTGAAGATGAATTTTACATTACAGTACATTGGCACTCAGTCATGCCTTCTCCGGAGATTCCTTCCAGGAAGAATGGATGATGGACGCACTATTACCCAGCGGTTTTGGTGAACACATGTCTCCTTTGAGCTATTTTTTTGTGAATTGTCATAAAATGGATTCTGTAGGAGAATAGCGCGCTTTCACAGAAATCCGGCCTCGATGTTGATTGCCAGCTGTGCAAGCCATCAGACTTTCTGAAATCGCAAAAGAAATGCAACTGAAAATAGGGCTAGACTTAGCTTTCGATAATCTTACATTAGTGTTAACTAAAAGACGGATGCTAAGTTTTAACTGTATCAAGGACTGAAATACTGCTGAAATGCTGGGCTATCCTGATGACGCTGACATCTTCCTGGAAAACAGTAAATGAAGAATAGCCTCCATTCTGCATCAAAACCCATCAGATAAAACAGATTCAGGGTGAGTTAGGAAGAAGGACAAACAAATCATCATATACCTATACCATTTCTTGATAAGCAATCGAACACGGAAACACTTGAAGGTGTCAATACCTCGAAGGGGAATGAATTTAGTCGCAACAGATGGATATAAAGAGTGCTCCTTGTATGGAACGAATCCAGCAAATACAACAATGATCTTAACTTAAAATGTGTAATCAAAATTCATGACTAGACAAAATCATAGCGACCGACTGAGGCTAGGTCCGGGTGGAGAATGACCTGATCGACTGACCGTCTTGTTATAACTGAGCGGCAGAGGTTATCGAGTACTGCCTTATGATCTTACTCTTGACCAAGCATTCGGTACAATACCGGTACTGCCGCAGATCTATTCGGACACCAGCCCGAGAATCTTTTCCGAAATAGTACAGCATGATCGGCAGAGTTGGTGAAGTGGCAAGTAGCGCACTATCACACACCCATAGCCGCGGGTTAGAATCCCGGATCGATATCCGCCTAGGCCAACCGAGCCTTCCATCCCTTCGGGATCTGTTATTGGTACCGGAGTAGTCTGAGAGGATAAAAGCACTGACTTGTTCATCGGCTGACCACCACGCAAGTCATTGTATAGGCCACATACGAATTCAAGGCACCACTACCATTCTGAATGGAAATTGAATGCGTTGGCGCATCCCTCAGACGAGTCTAGTGCCTCAAGACTTTATCCTTTACTATCGAGTGTTCTCTTATTTGAATGATGGCACGCGTTACAGATGAATCCAAGATTTATTTCGTCGCACTGTCAGGAAATGTTAGAGAACCTTTTCACCATCGCACTTTACGGTAACGTTTCCGATGAGGTCCGTCTTCATTTTTCCTGCCGCTATGAAGTCGTGAAGCTGTAAAAGGTTCCATAACACATGATTACTGCTCGGGTTAGAGAATGATGTAGGGTAGGAGGTGAAATGCCGGATTTCGATAATAGAAGCACAGTAAGACATGGTTTCACAAAGGTATTTCTCCCAAGCAAGAAGAACCCATGATAGTGTAAGTAAATCAACTTGCTAGAGAAGTCTTTCAGCAAAGGATGAAGGACTAAGTCTCTGGGCGTTAATCAATCCCGTCCGAGGGATGCGCCCACGCATTCGACTTCCATTCCGAGGCGTAGTGGTGTAGTGAATGCGTATTTGGTCTATACAATGATTTGCGGTGGCCAGCCAATGGTACAAGTCAGTGCTTTTATCTTCCCAGACGTGTCCGGTACCGATCAATCGACCCAAGAAGGATGGAAAATTTGATTGGCCTAGGCGGATTAAGATCCAGGATTTGGACCTGTGATCGTGCAAGTCTTCCAGTGGGCTGATTAAACACCAAAGAGGCGTTGAAAAATTTCTACACCCTATGCATTGCGTATTGCAGATGTTCCGCCAAAGATTAGCTATTCGATTCATGGAGAGGAGCCTCAGCTGCAAGGTTGCTGCCTCTAGAATTTTGAAGGGTACGTAATCTCTATTTGTTGGAGCAGTCGGACATTTGAGTGCGAAAATATGTACCTCTTCACAGCCAACATCATAGGCAGTGTATTTCATAGCGAATTTATCACCAATTTGCTGCATTTCCTCGTAAACCATGTCACGGTCGTATATGACTTCTTGTTCATCCGCATGCTGATCAACCTGAAATTACTGTGTTAGCAGGAGGTCCTTGTTTGTTCTCTAAGAGTCCTCAGCACACTGCGGCACAGGAACAAACAGTTGTTGTAATTTCTAATGTTAAACAACTCTTACCCCTTCTTTGAGTGCATTCTTGAAGATTGAATTCAATGCCGGATTGAATTTCAACTTGGTCTCGACGAAAACATCCGCTAGTTGGACTTCTCGCTTTACGGCACTAGTTCCGTTATTCGGTTTACATGCCTAAGTGGAAATCAATAGAAGACATTTCACCGTTAGCTGAAGTTGCCTATTTTAAAGGCACAGTTCACGATAAAAATGGTTTCTGATATTTCCCTATCGTATGAATTCAAGGTTCCCTCTTATACCACACCTGTCGTTATAAGGCCGAAAACGTCCTGGATATGGCACAATAAGGAATCAGAGATTGTATCGTGTGAATGCCACACCCCTAGTGGATGAGTTTCAACGGCTTTGTAGAGGCTGCACCATTCATAAGGGAACCGATGTGGGAAGTTTAAACAACTCGCCCGGCAATTCTGGACAGTTATGGTCTGATGTACTCATCTCTATGCGCAAAGGGAGCAAGTTAAATCTCGTCCAAAAACCCCTTACATGCCATTCCTATCGCGGTGATCTCGTCAACTTCCACTTCTACTACTTTTAAAAAGCTTGAAGAAGTCTTGTTTTCTTCACCGACAGATGTACTCCTCTACAACAGTCCTTCTTTTCAACCTGAAAAGGGTACCTCAAAATAATCGTGAACTGTGCGTTTTACCCTCTAGAATGAAAACAGACAAAACTTTCACTCACAAAAAAAAAACATACCAGTGAAAGACCTAGAAGGCTCAGAAGGACAACTAGACGTAGCATAGCGAACTGATGTACGGGCTTATGACCTTCACCAGTCCTTTTTGTTCACTATGAAAATGAATTTCAAGATTACTTCATAACAATGAAATGCTTGAAAAAGGTGGACAAAAAGACGTCATGGAAGAGCAGTTAGCGCCCCCCTTCCCTTCCCTTAATAGTTCTTTGTTACTATTATTTAGATCAGGGTGAAGGGGCTAGCACCAGGAATAAATAATTGAAATTAGGATCTTTGTGTTCTATGAAATACTATTTCATTGATACTTACCAAGGAATGGTAGTATACTTACCATGGAACTTTGAATGTAGTTCCATAATTTTTTTAAGAAAACCATTTTGCGATTTTAATTTCGATAATTGGAAATAGCATCCAGAACCCTATCGACTTATCTGGGTGTGAAGGGTAACGGAACTTCTCCCCTATCGCGGCATTCTCCCTTGCGGCATGCGGCAAATG